ATCCAATAGAACTCGTGTGGGCAACAATGAAGTCTTACGTAGCAGCCAGAAATGTCGATTTCAAGTTTTCTACCGTTTCAAAATGGTGCGACGCGTTTTTCAATAACTTTACGCCCGACGAATGGAAAACTGGTGCGAGCATGCAAAAATAATTGAGATAGAGTTTATGCAGCAAGAGCCCGCTTTTGATAGAGTTGTAGACGAAGTTGTTATCCATTTAAATGAAGTTGACAGCGATAGCCACTTTCTCGAGACCGAAACTGAAGATGAAGATGCCGAAGAACGGAGCGATGAAGCAGAAGGGGACTCTAGCGGAATTTTGGATGTACAGTCTGGCAAAGTCAGTTTAAGCTGTGAAAAACCGGTTGCACCGTAAACATCATGTCACAGCTCAAGCTGAATTTGACAAATTGTGTAAATGTTTAGCAAGAGTAGCATAAACTATTCATACACTTTTATAGTCTTTGATTAAAAAAAATATAGATAATTTACAAAGTTTTAGGCAAATGAATTGGTTTCGACTGCTTCTAAAACTGCAGTGAAAGGAAGTGAAAAACAAGCTTTCAACCTTCTTTCATCATAGGAAATCAAATAACAGTCGTTTGCCTACTGTGAAAAAACTTGGCGCGTCGACTGTACTTCTACATTCCTTGGCTATTATTGTTTCTCTCAGATATAGCGCTCTCTCACTCCGTCGTTTGCGCATCTCTTACTAATTTTTTATTTTATAACCAGCGCCACCTAGATTGCAGGAGAATACAACATCATTTATTGCTGGTACCTTTGCGTACGCAGTAATTTGGGCTGATTATTACTATTTCGAAATAGAGAGGGCAGATCGGTAGATTATGATATAGTTTTAATTTTTAATCGAATTCTAAATAGTATGTGTACCATCAAACGATCAAGGGAAATGTTAGAAGGCGTTCCACTGTTTGTGGCTTGTTCGCATACGAGGGATGTCTTTTAAGTTTTGCATATAGAAACATAGTAGGCCACGCGGATCGAACGTCAGTACTAAATCTTAACCTCAGTCTTTAGTAAACTTAAATTCAAAGTTTCACAACAATACGTGCAGTGAATTTTTAAGTGTCACCAAGTCATTAGAAAAATGGAACTCAAGCGAGAAGATTTTCGCGCCAGAATTGGGGGAATGCCTTGCTGAGTTACTAATTGCGTTCGCGGGTCAAGAAATGAACCAATTCGGAACTAAAACTGAACCATCCAGAATTACAAAAATGCGCATGTCCAGTTATTTTCTAGTTCGAGATTTTCGTTTTCCGCGAACGACTTTGGAACCGTTTGCGTATTCAACACTGTTGCCAATTTGCCCTCTATTTTCTGCTGTCGCCAAGCTGCTATTCGATTGACACTATTGACAGCTTCCAGGTGTTTTCGGTACTTCAATAACTTCCAATAGTTCTTCCAAATCATCATCACTAAACGATAAATGGTCCATCATCTTAAGCACAAAATCTTAAGCACTAAATCTTAAGAACTTAAAATGGAACACACAAAACATATGTATGGAACAGCAAGCACTAAAAAGCACAGGTGACAGATTTTCACAGAATAGGTTAAACACTTTAAACCCGAACAGAGGCAGCGGAAGATGAAATATCAAATGCCAATAACGAGTCTAATGTGCATGATCAGCCGGATCGAACTTTTAGTCTCACCAAAAATCTGAGAACCGTCAGGACCAATTCGGAATCAGTTCTGTACCAATTCGATATGATCCGCGAACGCAGAACTGTAACTAAAAATTCAGAATTTTCTTACCGCGAACGCCGATTTTCGAAGTGCGCATGCGAAGTGGTTCAGAATCAATCACGAATCGGAACAGCGAACGAAACTATTGTCTGTTTTCGGCAACGAAGCGCCACATCAGTCGACAATTTCCCGTTGATATGGAGAATTCAAACGTGGACGGGTGAGTCTTAGCGACGATCCCAGGGTGGGTGCACCAAAAACGGCAGTCACCCAGGAAAACGTCGATGCTATGCGCAAACTCATCATAGATGTGACATATCGCGAGATTTAGGCGTCCTTGAAGATCTCAAAGACCTCAATACAAAAAAATTTACATGAAGAATTAGGAGTAAGAAAATTAGTTTCTCGTTGGATACCCCACCTGTTGACTGAAGAGCAGAAAGCAGCCAGGGTTAATTGGTGTCAAAAAACGCTTGACCGTTTCAATTCCGGAAACTCAAAAAATGTGTACAGCATTGTTAGTGGTGACGAATCGTAGATTTACTGTTATGAACCAGAAAATAAACGACAGTCGGCTGTTTGGGTGTTCCAAGGTGAAGAAAAGCCAACAAAAGTCATCCGTTCTCTCAAAATGTTTCGAAAAAGATGGTCGCGACATTTGTGTCAAAAGCGGGTCATATTGCAACAATTCCTCTTAATGGGCAAAGAACTGTTACTGCGGATTGGTATACCACCATTTGTTTGCCAAAAGTCATCACCGAGCTTCGAAAAATCAACCCCGAAAGAAGAATCATCATCCAGCAAGACAATGCAAGCTTGCACACAGCCCAAAAAACAAGGCAGTATTTAACGGAAGAAAACGTGGAATTATTGGACCATCCTCCATATAGTCCCGATCTAAGTCCTAACGATTTCTTTACGTTCCCGAAAATCAAAAACAGACTGCGTGGTCAAGGTTCCAGTCACCAGAAGAAGCAGTTGACGCATTCAAAAATGCCGTTTTGGATCTGCCAGCAAACGAGTGGAATAAGTGCTTCGAAAATTGCTTCGAGCGCAAGCAGATGTGTATTAATCTTCGTGGAGAAGACTTCAAAAAACAATAAAGTCATTTAAAACTACCTACCGTGTTGTTTTATTTCCATATGCAAAACTTAAAAGACATCCCTCGTACATCTTTTCCTTTACAAAGCCCCAGAGGAAGAAGTCCATTGGCGTTAGATCGCACGATCTTGGTGGCCAATTTTGAACGCCAAACCGAAAAATGACACGGTCTGGAAACTTGGTCCACAGTAACACTGTTGTTTCGCGTGCTGTGTGGCAGGTCGCACCGTCTTGTTAGAAGAAAATATCCCCCACATCAACTCGATACAACTGGGGCCACAAAAACTCCGTTAACATTTCGCGATACTGCACACCATTAACAGTTACCGCAATTCCAGCTTCATTTTCGAAAAAAATACAGTCCAATCACTCCGCCACTCCACAATGCGCACCAAACGGTAACTCGCGGCGGATGCATTGGTTGTTCGATTATTGCAATTCGGCAGTTCTGCTTATTGACCTACCCGTTCAGTTGAAAATGTGTCTCATCGGAGAAAATGATTTTCTTCCAGAAATCGGCATTAATTGGGTGGTGCTTCAGCGCCCAATCAACGAACTCATGGCGCTGCGCATGGTCCATTGGCTTGAGTTCTTGTACGCATGCAAGCACAGATCTTTTATCAAAATTCGTTACTAAGTGCAGGTTCAATTCTTGGCCAGGATGCCGAATGGAAGTGCCTGGATTCTTGGCCACACTTTCCCCCACTGCGACTATATTTTCGAGGGACCGACCAGGATGGCGACGAACAGTGGTTTTCACATTCAGCAACGCGAATTTTGTCTCCAATTTTCCGCGTAATTTTTTCAGTTTTAAGTAGTGAGTTTTCACATTAATTAAACGTAGCTTGTTTGAATACTGCTCGATGACGTCTAATTGCGTGGTCTGGACATGACAGCTGTCATCAAGTAAACACCATAATCAAATCCAAGCGAATAACCAAAATTTCTGTGTTATGTGCCGCGGTTATAATATGGTTAAGATGACACACGGGTTGATGACGTCAGTTACACAAATCGCTTGAACGTGTTGGTTTTAACCGCGGTTTTATTGCAAGTTGTTTATTTTAGAAAAGCGCGTATATAATCTCTGATTATTTTTATTATCACTTAATAATCGGTGCTTTTTCGTCTACAACTGTATATGGAAAGTTTAAATAAGAAACCTTTCATAATATTCATGGGAGAAATGTTTTTTTCAGATTTTTTTTAATGATGGAACCATGGCTTTGTAGCTATGATAACTTTCAATTCTCTAAATTTTTCCGCATGTCAAAAAAAACATTTATTCATTCAGCAGAAATGATGAAAAAAGAAATTAGCAAAACCGTATACAGGTGGATATCATCTAGTGAGTTTATATGGCCATATTTTAATATTCTTGTGGTATATGGCTACACAGGATACTTTGTTAAGCATAGGAACTCCATTTAAAGTGTCCCAACAACCGTAATAAGTATAACTAATAAGGTGCTTTATGGTAAAACTGAAGTCAGCCTGTATCAATTTTCTCAAAAATGAAGCTGAAGTACAATAACTTTATCCAATACCCGGCAAAATTCTAACTTCTCACATTTCAAATAATAACCAGAAATATAAAACTACTCTTGAGTTGGGTAAATACCACAATTTTGCGGTGATAACTATGACATATAACAGCTGATTCGTGACGTCACGGATCTTATAACCAAACTGATAACTACACTCGCTTGAACGGATCGGTAAATACCAACCCAAAATGGTGAAATACCATTTCCATTTGGTTATCCGCTTGAATTTGATTCATTTGGACGAAAAAATGGCGGAAAATTCAAATGCAGCACTCTTGTTGAGATACCCTTTACAAGATGCCCCACCTGAATATTTCGAAAACTACGCATCCTAGAAGAAAAAAGATTCAAGCAAAATTCGTAGTTCTACATTCTACATTCATTTAGACGGTCCAAATCCTTTTTGGGCTGGGCCTTCCTAATAAATAAAAAAATGTATTGCCCCACAGGCACCTTGCTTTATTCAATTTCAACATCTACCTGTCATTGGAAGACCCTTTACCTATGTATGGTATCTTTATATGTCTATGAGAACCTATATACTATGTGTGCTATTTCAACTACTGAAAGGCAGTGCTTAAGGAAAAGAAGACCAAAGATACCCATCAAGTGCATGTGCATACGAAGTATTATACTTACTCCTAAAACAGCGGGTTCTAAATTCAAATCAATTGGGTTCATCACTATGAAAACCTGTTGGTTTTTGTGAGTAAGACCATTTGGTTCTCTCAAGGCTGTTTTACAGTAATACTGTACCCAGCCATGTTTACCCAAGAATGTTGAAGGAAGACCTAGTGGCAAACCTAATTTAAAGGGAAAACTGTGAATTCCTGGAGATAGTACAGATGGCCCCTGACCTGAAAAAAAAAATAGACATTGAACCCGAGAGACAACATGCACTGAGAACCAAATTTGTCTGACCGCTTAAGTTCAATGTGTACGAGAGTGTGTATAGACACATATGTTAGAAAGAGATAGAAGCCGGCTGGACATTGAAGCGCATCACCGCATTGCCTAGCCACGCTGACGCGACAATGTGTCGCATTGCCAATATGTTACACCAATTCCTTGAATTAAGATGCTTGTAGAAAATATGCGTTAGTTTATTCTCTACGCCCAAATAATGGTTTTGTTTTGAGCGTACACATTTTTGAATTGTGAATTGTGTCGGATCTGTTCAGGATCTATTCCGGATCGGTCCTAACGGCGCCCATTTTAGGTCAAACTTAAAGGTCAGGATCGCCACAAATTCTGCAACATTGCATCATTGGTTCGCTTGGCAACACCTCGTCTCGTACATTCCAAGGCAAGGTTTCCACCTCCATGATCATAGATGAGTGATTTTATTCAGTACCCATCTAGCGCTCATTGAGAGTGTCGAAATGGTTTTCACCTGCGTATACGCAGGCAGTGATAATTTGTATTACATAATGCCATTTGTTACATTTTGCGACAGTACTGCGGTAACTCAGGACTCCAACAAGAAAAGCTGCGGCACAAGCTCAGCATATACAATACTACACAGTAACGCGACTTCCCCGATATGCAGAGCATTCCGACAACTCGCGTCTCAGTTTCATAGCGCCTTGCACATGGTTCGACTGTGCATGGCGCAGCGTCTACTGCGCTCTCAAGGTCATAGAATTCAATTTTCAGTCAGCTGCGCTACTGTGTACTCTTGTATGCACTCTAGCTGGTACCAAAATGGAAGAGAGTAGCATAACACACTATACAGCATTGATGTTTTGCCTTTTTTGAATACTCGCGCACCGACTTTACCGACGCAAAATAACGCCGCATTAGCAGTGGCGTACGATATGTTATTATGCTACTCTCTTTTGTTTTGGTAACCGAGTATAGCATCGTAGTTCCCAGAAACTCTGCTTAAATAACCTACCAGGTTCACCAAGTAATCTCATTCTAAAATCTATGTAGTATTCTCTGTCGTAAACTCGTTCTTGGCGAGGTGTGCGGACTCTGACCACACCTTCTCCAACCACGTGGAAGTGTAGACCTGGGAAAAAATATCAACGTTATTATAGTTACTGGCATAATACTAGCTGCCTGCAGGCAAAATACACCTAATTAGGATCAGGATCTACCCGACTAGGATTGCAAATATCTTAAACGAGATAACAGCTCTAGGAACTTTGTGGGGAAAATTGTCCAATCCAATAGCAGCCATTACTGAGCATTTTATTGTAAATAACAGTGTCACTGCCTACCTAGATATATTTTTAACAATCAATCAACATGTCCATTGAGCTTAGCTACAAAAACCTGTTTTTTCTCTTTATAGCTTTGTAACAGGTCAGTCAAACTAGATCATTGATTTTAGTCAATGCTGTTAAAAATTATGTTTAATAAACTCTTTGAAGACATAAATCAAATTACTGAATGCTTGTTCTTTAACACCTATAGAGTAATTATTCAATTTACTTGACTACCGTGCGAAAAAACTCTGTTTCTTTCTAACTAGTTTTATGCTCAGCACGTGTTTAGCGATAATCTTCGTGGTTTATCACAATAATCCTGCCGGCGCCATCCACGAACTCAGTGGCCAAGTAGGGTTAAAAATGGCGTTGTTGTTCCACCGCCCTGCACTGGACTACCTTGCCATGGTGTCGATAGATGGCGCCAGCAGTATTATGTAAGCCAAGATGATTCGCACCATGAACCTGTTGAGCATAAACGTGAAAGAATCAGCAGGGATGAAAATCGATGATCTAGCTTGACTGATCTGTTACAAACCTATAAAGAGAAAAAATAACTTTTTATAGCTAACCTCAATGAGTATGTTGATGGATTGTTAAATCTATATCCGATCCGATAAGTACTAAGCTCACAGCCTGATGGCGCCACTAGCGCCGTATCGGATTTGTAGCTTAAAAGGCTATAACTGTCGGTGATTCGATTCTTGTTTGTGGAATGGAGATCGCGCAGCGAAATCAAAAAACGTTTGCATGCTGTGTACGGTGACACTTTCGTTTTTTGGCGAGCCACGCCCAAGTGCCCCGAGAACAGCGACCAGGGAGGACAACGAGAGAAAAATCTACGATCTAGTATTGGCAGACCGCTGATTGAAGGTGCGCGAGTTAGCTGAGACAGTATAGGCATCTCGACGCACCGCGTGGGTCATATTCTGCATGAAATATTGGGCATCAGAAAGCTGTCTACGCGATGGGTGTCGCGTTTGCTCACTCCGGAGAACATTCGCAACCAGAGCAATGTTTGACGCTGTTTAAGCATAATTCGAAGGAGTTTATGATAGATGATTTGCAGACTTCCAGAAAACTTATTTTTCAGATGGGCAAAAGAAATTCCAGAAATTTTGTTTCTCTTTTGTAGGCTAAGTACTTGTCGGACCGCCCTCGTAAGTAGTGACCCTGTTATTGTCAATAAAATGTGCTCGTGTGCTATAATCTTCACTGCCTACCCTTTCTCAAATAGAGAATACAGAATCATACTGAGTCCACCTACTTGAAAGTTTGTAGATTAGTAAGTGTGAATCATAATAATACTGCCTTACAATACTGTGAGTGAAAAGCGTATAATGTAGCTTTTATTCTGTAATACTTCACACTCGCACAATTTGTTCGTTAGCGTGGATGATTATGTATATATGAATCTAATTCTCACGTGATGCGTAGTAAAAGTCAAATCAATGATGCACATGCTTTCTCGTTAAATAATAGGACTACCAGTTTAAGAATTTTACGTAGGTATTGAAACCCACGACAATAAAACGTTTGCAAGGTCAAGATATTTGAATAATTGCCGATCAGCAATCAAGTAATTGAAAATCACAAAATCGTTGTTGAGGGACTGTATGCAGGCTTACACTGCACTGTCAGCACTTTAGTCATTAACCATTTAAAAAGTGTATTAGTTCAAATTCTAAAACTTGCGATTTAAAGCTCAAAAAAGTACTACGACAAAGTTTGGAATTGTCGAAAATGTCTAAGCGGGTTATAATCCTACAAATTCACAATACATACATTAATCTATCGTTATTAAAGAAAATAATCGAGCTGACACCATTTCAAGAAACAAAACGAAAATCTCCAAGAGGCACCTTCAGGAAAGGACATTTATTTTTGCAAAAACTAGTGGCATACAATATGAGCCTTTTTCATATTGTTATCTCCTGAATCTGCCCTCAAGTTTTCGTGACAATATTCTGTAACACCTTTTATATTTATTGTATATTGGGCCAAAACCCTAGCTCCGGTCCTGGAAAAGGTTCAAGAAGTACCAAAGAAAGTAACCCTCAGGCATTGAAATCACCCATAACCTCAATACACGCGAAGTAAGAAAGCTTACGATAAAAAAGCTCCTGTGATATATACTTCACACAGAATAAAGTATTAAGTGAAAATGAAACCAACAGAAAAGATCACAGAATAAAATGTTTATTGATGATTTTGTCAAGGTTTTCTCAGTCATTGAAATCACCTATAACCTTAATACATTCAAAGCTTATGATGAAAAGCTTTTGCATTATATATTTCATATTGAAATAAACTATAAGATTTCGGCAAAAAATGGATCGAGAAATCATATGTTGAGGATTTTGACAAGCTTATTGATATGCTTAAAGCTTACCAAGTGCAGGTGTGTCATCTTGAAGTTCAATAAGTACTCGTCCCGATAAGAACTGCCCGGGGAAATAAAGTAACGACGTATTATCGAACAATATAAGAAATTTTAACAATTTTCGAGGCATAGTGCCTTGTTTTTTTAAATGTCATTTACATTTACTATGCACGCGGGACAAGCGAGAACCAACCCAAAGTGTTTAATCTCACTAACACTGTTTAGTCGGTCATACTTTCGTTGTATACCTGAAGGTGAGGGAAACTCAAGGTCCGATGAATCTTATTGGTTGATACCTTGCCGCGAATGATTTTGTATGCTTTAATCTTTTCTTAATTTTCGGACAATGCGCGTTTTTTCGGAGAGTTCTTTTCGTAGAGAACTGTCAATCAGCAATGCATCGTTAATGGTTTCAATGACCTTTCTACGAAATTGAAATGATTATTCAAATCGTACCAAGTAGTAATGTAGTACCTTCTTGTATGGTGCTACTCTCTCTTTCTTCGAATGTTTATGCAACCAGCTATGACGCCAGCGTTTGCAAGGTAGCTTTACCAAACAAGGAGCCGTAACATGGATGAAGGACTATCGGCTAAGGCTGTATGGTTGTCGGTTGATTTTTTAGATATGAAAAAAGTTCACATAAACATAGGTCCGGAAAATCGTCGTTCCATAATAGTAGATAGTATCACCTTACGTTTCTCGAAAATATTGACATATTGAGATGAGCTTTGGTACTTGTCAATGTGTTATCAACATGTACAAAATTGTTGCCTAAAGCATTTATACCAGTGACGTTCATGCCGACAAGTATGAACGTCTCCGATAGCATTAAATATTTATTAAATATACTGAATGACAAAAAAGGTGAACACCTACGTATGATTATCCGATTTTAATAACTTTTGGCATATATATCCAGGTCCCTTACTAGTAAAATGATTAAATTTTCAGCTTCATTCGCCAACTGACTGCAGAAGCTGTTTCAATAATGTGTTGAGGATCCACGATTTCTTATAAACTCATTGACACGCCTGGGTACCGTGCTGATAAGGTGGTCGATATCCTGTTGGGATATCTCATTCCAGGCTACTGCAACTTCGTGAGTAAGAGCTGCTAAGGTCTGTGAAAGGTGTTGCAAGTTCAATATCCTGCGACCTGTCATGTCCCAGACATATTCAATTGGAGGTAGGTCAGGCGATCGTGATGGCCAAGGTAAACAGTTGATGCGATGTTGATCCATGATGGCTAACGATACTCTGGCAACATGCGGTCTGGCATTGTCTTGCTGAAATATCGGGCTTGTATGGTGTTTAGGTATGGGATAAGCTGAGGTTCCACTATTTGCTGAATATAGTGTCATATTGCCTCTGATGAAAATTAGTGGTGATCTGCTACCATAAGCAATAGCACCCCATACCATACAGGGTGACATCGAAGTTGAGTCATTTATTTTAGCAGTGAGTAGATCTGATCAAAAGAAATGTTTTTTACCTATAACATTTTTCTGGTAAAATTAAAGTAACAAAGTTATATCCCTTTAGAGGTTTGAGTACCGCCCTGTCTCAATAATAATATTATGTGCTCGTGTTTGGCAACAAAGGATATAATCCGCCTTATCGGTTCATCGCATCGGAAACAAAAAAGCGAAAGAATTTGAAACGCCTATTACGATGTTTTTATCATTCTAGATATAATTATTTAATTTGCTAGAAAAATATCGCTAAAAATATTCTAAGCCTCTTTTGCATCTTGCAAATCATCTGAAAGAAAAACAAACTTACTAATTATTGAGTATTATTTTTGTTTGAGAGAAATATTCTCCCGAATTGCTCTAGAAAGTGAATATTAGATGTAGGGGAACAATATTGGTGCTGAGCACTGATGAGTTAGTTACTCCGGGTAGCTCAACTGGGTCACTGAAAAGCAGCTCATTAATGCATCTAACAGGTTCTATTACATATCTAAAATACATAAAAAAATATTTATTGAATATTTTCTAAATAATGTAGTTTCAATGTTTTCCACTTATTGAAAAGTATTTAATGTTATAAAAGTAAATAATGTATTCAAAATATTTTGAAGATATTGAATAAATATTTAAGAAAAATATTATAATCCAAATGTTTATTAAATTTTTGTTTAAGATAACAAATATTTAAGTAAGATAAAAATATTATTAAATAATTATTGAACAAATATTTAATGAATATTTCGTGCTATCGGAGGCTCAGCAACAAAAACTTAGTTTTTGCAAAAATCAGTGCCAGTACCTTACAGCCAGATCAATCTACTTAAAAACTACCTCTTGTTGTTTTTAAATAAATTTTATTTTTTCACTACTAACGTAAATAGTCGCCATTATTTACCGTATTCCGATAAGGAGAAGCTACATTTTTCCTCCTATGTAAAAAATGATAATGAAAAAACTTAAGTAAATAATGAAATGTGTGCATTCATGTTTTTAAGTCTGCTGGACAAAAAGTTACTAGAGAATTTATTTGGCCTGAACTGATTTTTTCACCAGTCAGTCTTAACCATAATTAAGCTGAAATTTCTTATACACGTTTGGTTCGCCTGACAATAAAAAATAAATGAACCGCCGCCATTTTGAATCCAATATGGCGGATACTAGAATTCACGATTCCTGATTTTCAGAGTAACCCTGTCATATGGATATCAAATGAAAGGGCTTGATGAGAAAAACACAACAAGCAAAGTGACGTCATTCTAAATCCAATATGACAGCCATGGCCAACCGGCGACTTAAATTTTTCATAATCACCCCTAATATATGGGTTTCATTAAAGGGCATGATGAGAGAAACACAGTAGGTAAAGTGACGTAATTCCAAATCCAATATGGCGTCGTAAAATGTCGATTTATATTTTTCACAGTCGGCCCTATCATATGGCTTATATGTTTACTAAAAAATAGTAATCGAGCTCTTACACTCTTCAGGAGGCGCTCTTCAAGCAGAATCAGTATATGTTGTTTTTGCATGTTATACAACTTTCTCAAGAATTTTTGAAGCGATAATTTTTTGTTTCTGGAGAATAAAAATGTTGATAATTGTTCATACTTAATTAACATCTCTACCTCACGCTTCAGAGTCTGTCTTCCGCAGTGTTTCAATATAAAATAAAATCTAAAACACATTCATATTAATGCGTGCTGCTTGAGTCAATCTACTTGACGCCCCATGCTTTGCTAATAGCCAGAACCAGGACTCTCAGAATCGTTAGCACAGCACAAGGACGGCTTCTTTCACAAAATCAATGAAGCTTCGAGGGTGAAGACATAAATAGAAAAGAAACCTGTATAACTGAGGTAATTGCAGTGCTGCCGAACCTGCAGATTCTTCGGTATGTCTACAGAAATGAGATTACCGAAAACGTCTGATTTTCCAGGATTTTTTAAAATGATTCAGATAAAAAGCCGAAAAAATGAATTCTATATCGCAGTCTATGTAATTTTATGGCCCATACCAAACCTACATGTGCGTACACTCAGGCAGTGGGGCAAACGAGAGATTTGGGTTGCCTATAACTATGTAGGTACACACATCCCTTTCGCGAAATCGTTGCACAACACTTAAAAAATATAAATGAAAATTTAAAAAATTTAAGCCATGGTACCTTGGGCTAGACATCAATCTTTACGTACTAACCTGTTATTCTTGTTACTTTGATTGCGGTGTTGCCAGCTCATCGAATGTTTTTGCTACACTTGCGACTTCGCTAAAGCCTCCAAAAATGCTTGTAATGAAATATGGACTAATCTTAATGGAGATACATAATATTTAAGACGTAATTATATTTTTCAAAGAGCGTTTTCAATAATAATTAATTGATTTAACTGATGTTATACAACAACATGAGTTCTGCCTCAGAGCAATCGCATTTAGTATCCAATATACGGAATTTGAATCACAAGACAAATTCAAGATTATGAACAAAAACCTAATGTATAGATCCGAACACCACAGCAGTTTCGGCATAGCTATGTTAGATTTAATAACATAACGGTACATAAATGTCAAGTCTGAACCTGCATATTACGGTTTTGCACGTTTTTAAGTTCAAGGTGGTCTCCAATGCCAAATTTAGTGGAATCGAACATTTAAAATTCAGTCTCCTTTTTAAGCAGAACCCATAATGTTGTACAATATCGGTTGGTAGAGGTAAATCACTAAAACATTAAGTAAATGGGGATAGCATTAATTTTCCCCTTTATTCATATCACGTATTTCTCGTAACTTAATAAAATACAAGGTAATATAAAAACGGAGGCCGCCCTTGGAATTCTGAAATTTTGAGTTTTGTGTCGCATAAAGTGCTAAAAGTAAGATATTTGAATAAATGAGATTTTTTTGTATAAAAAACTGAAAGAGGTGCAATTAATCTATTTCGCTACTTAACTAGCACCATTCATTGGCTTTTTTGTACTTAGTGAAACATTTCAATAGTCAGCTTAAGAGATTAGCCCATATTTTATTCCAAGCTCATAAAAAACATAGCAAAAACATCCGATGAGCCTGCAACACTGCAATCCAGGTGACGAGAATGACAAGGTCAGCTGTATATGGCTGTATAGATTCATGCCTAGCCCAGCGTACCAACGGCATCACTTCATCAATTTTGCAATTTCCATTTTCATTTTTTTGAAAGTTGTGCAATGTTTTCGAGGGAAATTCTGCTGTGGATAAACTTAATAGGCCTAGCAGGGTATATTCCAACATTTGTGTTGCGTTGCCACCTTGCTCCAGTCGGACCAATATTTCAGAAAGGAATGTGCCCGCGCAACACAAAAATATGATTTTTGCATGATCTACTGCTGATCTTGAGCCGGCCTGATTTTTCTTCTACCGATTTTGTGCTTGAATCTACGGAATTCCATTGACTATCTACCGATTTCGTCTTTTTCGGCTTGGCAGCACCGGGTAATTGTAAGATTAGAAGCTTTAAATTGCTTTAGATGCTGCGCTAGAGATGGCGCTGAAAGTTAATCTAAGGATTGAGGTTAGAATCGTAATTAAAATTTTCATAACATCTCCAACAGGCAGAGGATTTTAAGTTTTTTTCTTTGCTAAGTGCCAGAATCCGAGCATAGGAAAAATGGATGGAGACAGGTACAAGTATCAGTTCTCATAAAAATAACGTCATAATAATATTTTATTTGTTCTAGCTCTGTACAAAGCACATCTCGACCATGGAAAGTTTGGACGGAGATTACAGAGCCATTTTTAGAGGCTGTGAATGGTAAATGCGTGAACTTTATTCAAGAACCGCGAAATAATGTCTATGCTTTCCAGATTTGTATTTGGGAGAACTTCTTCACGATGAGATTTTTGGGCTGTTTGAAGCTATGTCTGCAATTGAGATGATGGACCCAAAAATGGATGCAGGAATGCTATGCAACAGGGGTGTCCGCAAAATAGTTTCTTTTGATCAAGCTGTACAGGTCAGCTTAAAAGAACATCTATACATTAAGTACCCTTGTTACTCCAAGTCACAAATTATATCTTAAATTTATCTGTTTTTCCCTTAATATGGAATTTACTGTATTCAAATTTTATTACCTATATTTTTGCATGCTGCTTATCCATTTTTTCATTATTTTTATTTCAGGATAAAATTCTTAAGTTGTACAATTTTGAAGATGGAGAGATCATCGGAATTATTGATAGCACTTTGGCATGTTTGGTATCATGGTTAGAAGGACATTCTTTAGCACAAACAGTGTTTATTAACTTATATTTGCACAAGCCATATATGATTGAAGACCGAACCCTGAAAGCATTTTGTCTAGCAATATACAAGCTATTAGAGATCATAAAAGATTTTGTACATGGGTAAGAAGAAATATCATACAAAACATTGATGTTATAAGTTTTTGAAGTTGGGTAATATATTAGAATTGAAATGAATCATAGTGAAACCTTAGTAATGGCTTATACATGGCATCTGGTGGCACATTTTGTCATTTTGATAATATGTACAATTATAAGGGTGTCCCAATTTTAACTCGCATATCAAAGTTGATTTTTTTAAAATTGAATACCTTATTTTTTATTACATATTCATATATACACTTTTAAAAGAAGAAGATTGATATAATGCACTTGTTGATTTTGATTATTAGTAGTTATTACTGTTGGGAAATTTTCCCATAAACAGTTTCTTCGAAACTGTTTTGTTTAGGTGCTATACATGACTTGTTAGTTCAATCAACATATTTTTTTATTAGCGCAAATGTGTATGAAGAAGAAGATTTCCAACCAATGCAGTATGGCTACCACTTGAACCCAGACATATCAGAGCAACGCATGATTGGTGTGTTAAAAGAAGTAGAAGAAGATCTACATAGAAAGTGTAGATCACGGAACACTGATGACAAGTCTCAAGCACTCTATGCCAGGATAAAGTTTCTGAGGATATTCCTTCAAGTACTGATAAATTTTAGAAGAGATGATCCACAGCAACCTCTTATGCCAGAATGCCAAAGACTTTTAGCGACATGTACAGAAGTGTTGTTAGCTATACAAGGAAGCGTTGATTTGGGTCTAAAGAGTGATGATGGTGAGATACAGAATAATATACTTTTAGATAATATTAATAAAAGAAAATAATTTTAGCAGACACTGAAACAATGTTGGGTTTTGAACCAATGATCAATCAAAGATTGTTACCGCCAACGTTCCCTCGCTATACAAAGATCAAATCAAGATCCGAAGCTCTGACATATTTCATAGAAATGACTGAAAGGTTCAAAGTGGTTTGTAAAATCCAGTTTGTGACGTCACTACACCAGGCATTGGTAATATGTAGAGGTACATATACATGTGTATATTTAACAATAACTTTTAGGATTTCTTCATTGAATTCAGTAAAACTAGTCCATGTATTCTGTCGAGGTCTGCACTCCAGTTGCTATACAGTGGCTCAAAAGAATCAAATTTAAGGGATATTGTGAGAGAAGCTGTAAAATCCTTCATTTGCCCCCCAGCATTATTGTCAAAGTCTCTCCTCAGTAACTCTCAGGTATAGTAAATTATTTCAAACACAGGGAAATACAATACTCAAAAAATTTGAGCAGCAAGAAGTAAATTCAAATTTTTCCCGATTTTTGAAAGGTTGTATCTAGACTATAAGAAAAGCATTTTGAAGCTTTGGGTTTCAGGTTTTTTATCCGAAAAAATTTAGGAGCAATGGTCTTTTCATACAATTCTAACAGATAGCTCAAGAAAATTTTTTTGTGAAATTTTCCTTCTTTTCAGTCCATACTCTTGAAAAAATGTTTCCTTTTAGGCCATCATATGGGTTAGATTGCCCATTCATTCAGATTTAAAATCCTGTTTTAAAAATTCCAATACGATCATTTGGCGCGGAGATTTCTGACTTTATATGAAAAAGGTTCATTATGACATCAACCATGCAAAAAAAGTTACTTTTCCCTTGTTTTGGAAAATTGACCGCATTTTTTGAACCGATAATGGGAATACTAATATCTAGGTTTTTTATACCTCAATGTACTCTTAATAACACAGCACGACGGTAAATCGATCCACTGTATGGTTTCTCCAGACTGATTGGTCAAAGTTTAAAAGAAGTCAAAGCAGCAAAATCTTCTGTATCAATACATCCTGTAATCTGTTTGAAAAAGGGAAAACCTTTTTTGTTTTTTTGTTATCAATATTGGATATCTGTAACACCTTCAATTTTTAAAAAAGCAATTGGAACATGTTATTCTTTCATTCATGGAATATTCCTAAAAACAAAAATATTTTCTAGATCCGCCTCTGGTCAGTATTTTTGTTTTTTGGAAGATTCCATGAATAAATTGCTCTTTTTAAAATTGAAGGTGTTACAGATATTCAACAGTAAGTAAAAGTAGGTTTTTTGACTTTTTTAAAATCAGTTCTAAGGAAACAAAAAAATACTCAAAGATTGCAATCAAATTTTATAAGAGATTTAATACAGTTTTCTGATCCATATTATGGCCTAGCAGAAACAACAAGCCTGTGGATCCAAGAGAAGGCAAAATTTTGCATTTTTTTGGCGCTATCCATTAGAATTGCATGAGAAACGTCGCTCCTAAAATTTTTCGCTTAAAAAACCTGAAAACTAAAGTCTTAAAGCTTCAAAATGCTTTTTTCAAGGTGTAGATACGACCATTTTTCACCAAAATACAGCCTGTCAAAGGTGACAAAAAAATTTTGATTTTTTCTTTTTTCCTCAATTTTTTGAGTAGTACCTATAACAAATACAGAAAGCAATATCCAACGTAAGAGTAAATTTTGCGATTTTGTTTTTCAGGCAAAACATTATGTTGACACATTTTTATCACACTGCACACGGCCATTCCAAAATTTTCTTCAACTGTGTGGTCATAACAGAGCTAGACAAAGAGATAAGTTAGCTCATCTTTTAGAAGAATTTTCAACACTACAAGATGAGGTAACTAAAATGACTTTAAGAAAGGTTAAAAGCTTGTTAGTAAATTTTGATTTTTTTAGGCAGAAAGAGTAGATGTATTCTTGCACAATCTTTCAATGAGTTCTCCACTAGCAAGACCTCATGTTGCATGTTTTGGAACATGGGTTTTGTATCATACCCTTAGGATAATGATAATGTACCTTTTGGCAGGATTTGAACTGGAACTATACAGTGTTCATGAATTTTATTACATCTATTGGTGAGTGGAAACAATCTGGAAAATATTCGTGAAATGATTTTAATGATTATTCATTCTTAGGTATTTATATGAATTTTTGTATGGCTGGTTGATATCTGCTCTATCAAGAGCAGATACATTCCTTATGGAAAACGAAATTTTGAATGAGCTTCAGAAATCTGGTAAAGGCATATCTAGGAAAAGGCCTAGGTACAAGAAGAAAAATATCAGACCTAATAATAGAGATATTATATATCTTCAAGCTTTACAGAATATGTGTGGAGGATACTATAAGGTAGGTTTAGTAGTGGTATATGACTTAATTTAAACAAAAAACAAACAAAAGAAAGGCGCTTTAAGTAGAGACAAAGGAAACTATAAATATGATTAATTGATAGTAGCAAAAAAGAATATATAGCTAAATCATGTAATGTTCACACATGTAGAAATGTATAACAAACGAAAACGTCTATAGAAAGGGGGAAAAAGTCAAAGATGTAAGAGTGTAGCACTTCTTATTTCCTGAAATCCACAACAGAAGATATCGCAAAAACTCCCAATCCTATTCGCATTATTGTACATTAATTTTATTGGTGCTTTAGACAAAAAAGTTGTCTATGCCCTCTTGCAGGAAACGATTGTATTTGAATGTCGATCTATGTACCAATTTGCGATAGCAAAACAACAGTGATGTTACCATGTATAAAAATACTATTGACGCCTGATCTCTTCATTCCAAAGAAGAGATACCAAATCTATTCATTAATAACAAGTAGTCATATCCTCTTGGGAGGATAGACTCCACATCACTCCTATAGCATAGAAATTTCATTTGCACTTTTTCAATATCATTTTTGCAGAGTTCATAGATAGGGCCTTATTTAAAGTTACTTATAACAAACACTGAAAACAATGTAATAAGCATTGTGATATTGAAATGTCTACAATTTCTGATAATAAAGACATATGTGCGATACACATTACTTATAATTTCACTGATGTGGTAGTTAAAGTTGAGCTGACAATTGAAATACTCTCCCAAATCTTTGAAAGTTTAGACGAAAATACCCCTGGTTTGCGAAATAATTGTAAAGTCTGGTTTTATCGCTGCAAGTTGTTCAAGGGGGTAGTCAAAACATGGACGCATAAAATGGGTAGGTACACCAATGTTTGTGGGAAAACTTTTTATTCGACAACAAAGAATGAGAAAACGTGTTTTAGGGATTCAGTGGAAAGTGTTGGCAGGAACGAAAAAACTCTTGAGACCACACGTACAAAGATCTGACTATTAGCAAAAAAGTTATCGCCGAAAACCGAGGCAAACTCCAGGTTTTGGCACTTATTGGTAATGCGACGATAGTTTCTCACAGATATTTGAAATTTGAGCAATATACAGGGTTAGTTCAAAGGGCATTTTATAGCACAACACACCAAGTTACCATGTCGATATGAATCGCAAACCATTCCGGAAGATAAATGTTATTTTTATGCAAAAAGGATGGTTTACGTTTTTTCTTCTAAACAAAGTAGCATTTTGTATTTGTGAGTAATTCGCTATAAAAGATGGTAGACACATCCACTTTGTTTTAAAATGTGTTTCGCATAAAAATAACATTCATCTTCCGGAATGGTTTGTGATTCATATCGCCAAGGTAAACACGTATATTTTACTCTTAAATGTTCTTTGAACGAACCCTGTATATTGTTCAATAAACTAGTAGTGATGGACGGAAAACATGTATTTTGGAATAAACAATTAGAAATTCTCAAAAACTACTTGACCAATATACTCCAATTTTGTTGTCGTTATTTAGAAGTACGGATTTGAAGAATTTCAAATATTTGCGAGAAACCATCATCGCATTACCAGCAAGTGCCAAAACCTGCAATTTGCCTCGGTTTTCGGACATAACTTTTTTGCTATTAGTCGGATCAAAAGATGTGTGGTCTCATTTTGTAGGTCTCATGAATAACTGAAAACCTTATATGAAAAGTTTTTTCGTTCCTGTCAACACTTTCGATTGAATCCCAAAAAACACGTTTTCTCATTATTTGTTGTCGAATAAAAAGTTTTCCCACAAAAATTGGTGTCCATGTTTTGAATACTCTCTTGAACAACTTGCACCAATAAAACCAGACATTACTAATTACTAAAATTTTCTAATATGATTAGACTATTTCTAATACAGATTGATATATTTTGTATGGGTAAGTTAAAAATGTGACTTTCTGGTGAAGGTTAAAATACGGCACTTAGAGTTCAAATACAAATTGTTGTTTGAGGTTTTAACAATCATACTAGCTAGAAACAAATATGTAAAGATTCAGATCATCAGCAAACATAAGCTTGTTGTTGTTCTTACTTAGTCGGAAAGAAACGCTCTTTTTTTCGAATTTCCTACATTCAAAAAGAAAACATAGCTTCACAATAGGAGAGCGGCTAACTCGTAAGGGCCGTATCGTCAGTCGTTCCTACAATTGTCTGTCTTTATGGCCTCCTTGATTGTCATAGTTTTCTACTGTTCCATGTCACTGCTATAATTTGAGGTTACGTTACAAATATCTATTGGCATTAAATTGTTCATGCTTTTAATTCATATCATCTCTTATATCAGCCTGAAATTTCCTACAATTCAAAAAGAAAACGTAGCCTCGCGATAGGTGGGCGCTGCCGCTGACACGGAACAGTAGAAATATAGAAATAACTCAGTCTTTCTGAATTAGGGAAATAACTATGAAAATCAGGGAGGCCACAAAGGTGTCCTACAATTTTAGGTACGACTGACAACACGGCCCTAGAAGCAGGATAGTTTGATTATGAATGATTTTGTTATTGATCTTGATACATTCTTGATACTACGGCATATCATGGTTTTAAACCCCACCAATGGCGAGTTATTTTTGTAACTGACATTTTTTCCACAGGCTCTCATGGGGTTCCGACTGGAGGGGAAGTTACAAATGCCCCATCCACGTTTTGACAGCGAGCAAGTGCGATACGAGCACAGGTTCGCCCCATTTCAAAACCTTCTCACTCCACCACCCGTAGTTTACTCAGAATTCAGGGACTTGACGTCATTCGAAAGGTTCCAGCAACAGTCGCTAGATAGCGTTTATTTATACATAGCAGGATGTAAGCATTTCCATCAAGCAAGGCAACTTTTGGAAAGCATACCTTCTGATCCGGAGATAGCGAATTTGTTGACAATCTGTAAAACAAATTTTATTGTATTGAAATTGTTGGCTGGTGGACATAAAAAAGAGTCGACGAAGCCTCCAGAGTTCGATTTTTCGAAAAATAAATATTTTGCTGTTATAAGATTGAGCTAGGCTGATATATATATATTATATCATAGTTACATTTTCGGCGATACGTCTTCAACAACACCGATCACGGGGTTCTTAACAATTTCAAGTTAAAAACGATTGATTTGAAAACGAGGTATTATCGGATGTACGTTTATTTGGACTATTCGAATCATCCCTTGGGGTTTCACCAGGTATATAATATCTTGTAGTATAAAGACACTGTCAATAGTTTTCTCGATTTATGCTTTCGTGCATGTTTTGTGAAATTTAATAAAATGTTTTGTTGATATCTGCGTTTTTTTTTGTCGAAAGCTTAAACCAAAAAACGCCGTGAACCTGCAGTCCGCTGTCGTATCTCTAATAGTAGCGTTACACGATCCAATAAAGAATTTTTTTCACCTTGAAGAATTTGGAGCGTGTAAACATGAAAATTGACAATTTCTTTACAACAATAAATTTATGAATACATTGACAGATTAGGGCTTGGTCCATTTTTTGGGGAATTTTTGGTAAACTTTTGGTTCTTTTTCCTAGGTGCCAATCTTCGTTATTTGTGCCTTCACATTTCGTGATTTGATATTAAAGTTATAATCACAGTTTGGCGTTGCTTTGGTTTTAAGGATTTAATATTTCAACAGAATTTATTTGATTGTGTAAAGAGAGCTAGATCACCGACCATTCATCGGTGTGAGAGTGCTTGAGACCAAAAAGTAAGTGCCAGATGTCTTAGATATGCATAATGAATTTTCAATAAATGAGATGTCACCATTTCTTTCTCATTATGCCGCATCAACAAACAATTACTTTCTTTTAGGAAAGCGATCACCGTATTTCATAATATCAAATTTGCATACATCTGCTATTTCATTTCATAATTTGTGTCACTTGCTTTTTGCTAAGAATTTGCACGGAGGAATAAATTTGGTGCGGCAACACTGTAAACGTGCACATAGAAGAATACAAATTACAAATATGCTTCTATGTCGACGTTGCCAATGTCACGGAATTTTATTTGAAAATGCGCTGAAGCAGGTGCATTCTATTTTTAGAATCTAGTCCTCTTGGCGATGATTTGATGGACAAGAATGTGAATATGAATCTTCTACAAAATGAGGATCAATCTCGAAATGATAGAAAAGAGGATGCTTGGGTAATTACATTTCGCCTCAGGAGCCAGGATAGCTCCCGAGTCAAATGAGTACCCTAAACTGGACCCCATCCCTAATGCGGAACCAGATCATAATGGTTCTACATTCTCTGATTCTCGATTATTGCCATGTGTAAGTAGTAGCTTAGGCATCTACCACGGTGTAGTTTTGTGTTAGATGGGAATTTTGTATTCCGACACACGAAAAATCATGTGATATATGAAGTACATCTTGATTTAATATGAGAATTATTCATTAGAACCATTACATCAAAGACGCCTTCTCGTTGGTCCAATTTGTGCGAATGGAGCAAATTTTGATTCTCCTGGGTCAGTATAGTAAAATCGGGCCTTAACTCTTTAACTGAAATTTTATTGGATAAACAAGTTTTTGACCAACCCAAACTCCTTTTACCTAAATCTACTACCCACTATTCTTCTGAAGTTGCTTTTCAAGTTCGAAAAAATTAATAGAAAATGTAAAGGAAATGGTGTCCTAAAGTGGCTAAATAAGCTATTGATGCATTTCGGAATAAGAATATTGGATGAAGAAGGACAGACAGCAAGATAAGAAGTGCACGTCAGCGATTTTAATTACCCAGGACTTAAACACTATCTATTCTGAGTATATTCTGTATCTATGCTTAAGAATAAAATACCCCATGAACATAGTGACGTCATAATATCGGCATATTAAGGCACTACTGACGTACGCCAACCAACAAAAATGACGATATTATGAGGGTTTAATGCCATATCCAATTGACGTCATAGTATGTCATATAAAAGAAAAAATAAAAAGTCGATATGACGTACAGTCGCTCGCAAAAATAATCCAAATGCTCCTGAAAAATTGAGGATGTGACAACGACGTCCCATAAGCAGTGAGTTCAGGAGTGGTAGAAAGGCGCCGAAACTCATATTCTAGTTAACTACCACTCTAGTACCCTCTCGTTCCGAGACATCGTTATCACCTCGGCAATTTTTCAGGAGCATTTGTACAAAGTAACGGGTGATTTTTTAAGAGCATTCTTTCTAAAAGTTGAATAAAACAGCTAAAAATGCATTATGTATACAAAATCCTTATTGGAATCGATAAACTGTTCCTTGCCATTTACTTTTTAAAGATTACTGCATGCAAATGTTGACCAAGGCTACGGATACGGAAGGTCCAATTTTCCACTCCTTTTCAGCATTTCGGCCTGAATTCCACCAATAGCACAAGTTATGTTGTCTTGTAAGGCCTCAATAGTGTTAGGCTTGTCCATATATACCAACGATTTCTCGTAACCTCACAAAAAATAGTCCAGAGGTGTCAAGTCCCATGATCTTGGTGGCCAATTTACAGAGCCAAAACGAGAGATAAATTGCTCACCAAATCCATTCCTTAAAATTTCCATTGTTTCACGTGCTGTATGGCATGTAGTGCCGTCTTGTTGGAACCACATGTCAACCAAGTCCGGGTCTTCCAATTTGGGCAATAAAAAGTTACGGGTCATGGATCGATATCGTTCGCCGTTGACGGTAACGTTTCGTCCGAAGTCGTCTGTAAAGAACCACGGCCCGATAATTCCACCAGCCTATTAACCACACCAAACTGTTGTTTTTTCTGGATGCATGGGCAATTCTTACATAGCATGTGGCTGCTCATCACACCAGATGCAACAATTGTGCTTGTTAACATATGCATTTAGCCAAAAGAGTCATCGCTGAACACAATTTTTCGATAAACAGCGGATCTTCTTCTAGCTGTTGCCCATTCATTAAAGATTCGACGTTGTGATAGGTCTTTTGACTTGTTACACAAGTTGAATTTTGTAAGCCTTCAAACCCAAATCGACACGTAAAATTTTGCAGGTGGTGGAGTAACACATTCCCAACTGTTGAGATCTGCGGCGAATGGATATTTCACGATCTTCATTAACACTGGTTGCTACGGATGCAATATTCTCTTCGGTATGCACTGTAGCGCATGCGAGTTGATGGTTTAGTGTCCAATAAAGTAAATTTGGTACGAAATTTGGTAATAACACCTCTAATTGTGGTTTCAGTAGGTCGATTATGACGACCATAAAGTGGCCGTAACTGGCGAAATACATTTTTCACAGAGCACTAATTTTGGTAATAAATTTCTACGATTTGTATTCGTTGTTCGTTTGTAAATCTTTCCATGATGGAATGACATAGTGTACTGAACAATTTTGACTTTGGCAGATTAAGGTCGTAAAAAATCACCCATTATATCGAAATGTTTGATAAAGAACACCGTTTGATCTCAAACTCGTTCCACTCCTCCGATGGCTCAGAATTTGTTTTCAGCAATTTACCAAAATCATTTTGCTTTTTCACAGGAGATGAAAACACTTCTTGTTTCCTGTGTGTTACCCAAGCCATCGTGATGTCAGTCAAACCCACTAATTCATAAAACAAAGTGGCCGAACCACTGCCTAACGGAGAACACGCTTGGAGCTTGGACATCGGTCGGGCTCACAGCTTCTTCGTTGATCATCGGTTAAATGATATACCGTTCCAAAATTTGAATTCTTACCGCGCTTGATTACAAAAATTCTAGTAAAACTTGCTTATTGTTATTCAGAGGAGTTTCTAATGAATTCGTTATTTACGGAAAAAAACATGCTAAATGGCAATTTGACATGTCTGGACATGGAATACTATTATTAGAAAAGTCATATTAACAAGATATTTTTGGTCGAAGAATTCCTGATACTTTTTTATAAATAACAATAAAGTAGTTATTAGCTTTTCGATATCCAGTTTACCTTACTGTTTGTTCATTAAAAGTCTATATTTTCTTTGTAGACAAGTGTTGATTTTTCACTACTTCGTCTCTGGAAATGAGACTGATGGACGGAGGCGAAACTTCTGCACTTTTCTCCCGAGAATGATTCGGGGATCGGCTATTATAATATCTTAGAGCTCTGAAATACAGTTTCCCGAAAGATAAGAGAACCACGTCCACTTTTTATCACCTATTCTAATCCCTCATTCAACAATTGGCCTCGATATCGCTACGAGTGTACCATTTCTGAAATTTTCGGTTTATTATCGGAAATAATCCGGATTCAAAAACTTTTCTCTTTCTTTCTCTTATTACTTCAACTTCAAAAACGAGAACTGACCTCCGGTCGAATACCTGTCATTTGACATATCGCTGAATGCCTCATTTTCAATCTGTACTTGCAACGTAAGTACAATAAACTTTTCACTGCATACAGACTTCGTACCGTAAAAGCCTAAGGCTGTAGGTAAATACATTAATTTGTTGAATAAAGTGTGAGTAACATTCACTCTATTATTCACTTTTTCTGTTCGACGATTGATTTCGAATTCTTGTAATGCATATGTTCTAGCTTAACGAAGATATTTATACATTTCTTGTTAATTTGTTTTTATTATTCATCAATGTCACATATCTATATGCTTTTCCTCTCACTATGAAAATACCGTCCATCGGTCTATTTTGAGCACCTTCCTATGCAGCCAGGAAATCTAAACGTACAATATGGCAACACTGCAAGACTCTTATTCATTCATGTTACACAGTAATCGCAGCCCTGTTCAAACTGTTTTGTGGCAAAACAGTCACAGAAATATTCAAATATAACTCACTATAAACAGATACAAGTAACTATAATGCAGTACGAATATGTAAAAGGGCTTTCTAGATAAAATAACAAATATTTAATTTATTTATTACATATATTTATCTAACATAACCTAACTTAGTGATGCAGGTGAATTGTGTTTGAGTGAAGTGTATTTTACTTAAACCAAGAGCTCTGGATTAGAAGAAGTGTGGTATTTCCGAAATCTGTGATGTGTACCGCAGGTTTGTGAACATGTGTTTTTATAATTTGTCTAACAGAAACTGCCCTGAAGGCCATTCAAGAGAGTTATTATTGAAAACATTTTGTTTTGGAGGCACTAACTTTTTAAGGATTCTTCTCTCGTAGAATAGAAACGATCCTATGAGTTGCTGAAGGGTTTACGTGCTCCAAAGTTGATAAAAATCGTTAAATAACTAGTTACATCTTCAATGTCACAGTCGTCACCTGAAAGAGACCAAAACAGGATATTTTAATGTCATTTATATTATACTATGTTAATGTAACCATCTACCATTGCTAATTGTTTAAATAATAAGCAAATAACTCGGATACAAGTTTTGTTGACAATACTACTCTATACATGACCTCACACTTTATGCTAGTATTGACCTACAGGGTAATTCAGAAAATGTGACAATATTTTAAGGTATATCCAAAAATAACAAAAAAAGTTTTTATAAGCATAGGTCCTTAACATCAATATAAGTACAGTCTTGGAAATTTCCGAGCCACTGTCAATACTGAATAAGGACAAAACATGTACATTGTCATAATTATGTGAGACAGGAAACCTCTCAAACTCCTGCATATTTTCAAAGTAGAACAGGTTGAAGTTTTTTATGTGGATCTCATCTAAAATGTTTAAACCAATTTTTCTCCAAAAGTCTGGCATAATTTTCTTAATAGCAGTGATTCATCTAAAATTGAACTGTTCATACAAACAGATAATAGATAACAGTTGTTCCAAAAATAATTCTGAACTGTTCTCAGGCCCTTTTTATAAGTGTTGGCTATGCTTTTATTACTACATGTACAAAATTTTAAGTCAATATCTGGAGGTATAATTATATTTTGGTTAGAACGCCCTGTATCTTAGCAAGGGAAATTGCAAAATCGCCAAAAAGTTCGACCTCTACAAAAAAATTTCAACCATGAAAATGGATCATTTTTGGATGCTGAAATACAGTTGTTGGGTGGCTACATAGTCACGTCATAATGTTGTAATTTTTACGGCACTATCGACGTACGCCGACCAACAAAAATGAGGTAGCAATGACTACATCATGATGATAGGTAAGTGTTGAATTTTCAAGCACTGACTGACCTAAAAAAAGGCGTCAAAATGACAGCCTTTTAAAGAACGTCTTGTTGGCGTCAATAAAGATGTCATTTTTTAGTCAATGACGTTTCTGACCAAAAGTGATCGATAATGACTTCATTTTGGCGTCATCATGTTCACCCTGTATCTTCAGGTAGAATATGTTAATGAATGGTCCAACTTAATAAACCAGTTGGCTGGTATCTGCAACATTTAACTTGCTTTTGAGATAAATTATTATTAGCCAAATAGGTACCAAAGCAAAAACGTGGTAACTATACTAAGTGACATATAAATCTGAACACCCAGTTTAAATGGTTTTATTTTAATAAAATTTTGTATAAGTACTTAATGAAGCATAATAAGTAAATGATAAAAATTTCAAAATGATTGCACTGCTTTAAAGCCCTTTGACCTTTAATAATGTGTGGATGCACCCTGATGTGCTACGCATTCTCCAACGCGCCTAGGCATGCTTCTGATCAGGTGGTCAATGTCCTCCTGTGGTATCTCATTCCAGGCAACCACCAACTCCTCTCGAAGTGCTTCTAGAGTCTGAGGAGGACGTTGCAAATTGAGCAATCTCCTACCCATCATATCCCACACGTGCTCAATTGGGGATAAGTCGGGAGATCTTGGTGGCCATGGTAACAATGTGACATCATTATGTTGAAAGAAGTCTATTGTGACTCTTGCAACATGTGGTCGAGCATTATCTTGTTGGAAAGTTGGATCTGCCAGGGTGTCAAGATAGGGTAAAAGATGGGGTTCTAGAACTTCGTGGATATAATGCTGCGCGTTCATGTTACCTCTGATGAAGATTAAAGGTGACCTGGAACCATAAGCTATAGCACCCCAAAACCATAACTCCAACAGTGTGATGAACATGTCTTTCAACAAAAAACTGTGGATTCCTCCTTTCATCACGTCGCCTTCTAACCCTGGCACGACCATCGTGCATGCCTAAACAAAATCGAGACTCGTCACTAAAGACAATACTGTTCCATTCCTGATCCCTGAGTGACCGTTGTCTGCACCACTCAAGGCGATTACGTCGGTGTTCTCGAGTTAAAGGGAGGACCCAGTGTGGCCGGTATGAAAACAAGCCAAAACTTCTCATTCGTCGGTAAACGCTTCGCATGCCAATAGGTCTTCCGTGTTCTGCAAACCATTCATTTGCAATGGACCTGGTAGTGGAGAAACGGTCCCTTAAGGCCAATAATCTTAGGCGGCGATCTTCAGGGTCTGTTGTTCTACGGCGGCATCCAGTGCCCCTTGCTCTTTGCGTACGGCCTTCTCGAAGCCATGCCTGACAACACCTAACCACAGTATCTACACTTCTTTGCACTCTAACTGCAATTTCCCGAAAAGAAAGTCCAGCTTCCCGAAGTCCCACTATACGGCCCCTATCAAACTCACTAAGTTGACGATATCGTTCAGGTCTCCGTACTCTAGGCATCGTAACCGATCGTAAAGGATGTCAAGAACCAAAATCCGCCAACGTTGATTCTTTACTGCGGCTGAAATATTCATTTTTAGAGCGTTAGTGAATTAAAAAAAAGCAGTATAAAAACCGGAATGTCCAACTGATAAGGCTGAACATTTTTTCACTTGTTATTTACAGTAAGATAAATACATTCACCAACTTTTATTAAATAAAACCATTTAAACTGGGTGTTCGGATTTATATGTCACTTAGTATATTAAGTCATAAAAACTGTATGTATTTGTTACTAGGCCAAAATTCGTATCTACAGCAGCTGTTCCTATGATTGTCACTTACAATTCATACACCTTAGTAATATACATGACATTTATGCAGATACGTCAAATAAAAATGTGTGAATTTGAGAAAACTAGTGTGAGTTATGGCCAAAATACCCTTACCAATGAATAGGGAAAATGAGACTGATTTCCTAGATATGAATTACCAAATATGCTCTAAAATTGCAGATAGGTACCATCATGCTCAACACGGCACTTTGTTCAGAATTTGATCAAAATGGGAGTTATAAAGACAGACTGACCGACGGAAATAGTTTTTCCTAACGTACATTAAAAAAACTGGATACTTTGATTTCGAATATTCTTAGCATTACGATATTTCCTTGTCATTTGGTCGAAAATTGTCAGTGTTGTTTGATGTTTTTCCCAAATTCCTGCAATCTTTGATAATTCAAAAGTTAATGTCGCAAGAAGCTAATTTCTTATCAGTGTTTAGTGTGATAAAATATTTATGGCATGAGAACATATTTCTAATTATTTGTTAATGAGAGGTGAAAGCATTGATATATAAACTACAGTAAGAAATTATTATATTGTTATTTTGAGAAAAAACATGTTTGCTTTGGGGCTTAAATGTTTTTGTTGTACTATTGATGCTGTTGATGATTATACCTATTACACATTTTCCACTATTTCATGTTATATAATATAATACGAGGGACGTCTTTAGAGTTTAGCATATACAAACATAGTAGGCCGCGCGGATCGAACGTCAGTACTGAATCTTAACCTCACTCTTTAGTAAACTTAAATTCAAAGTTTCACAACAATACGTGCAGTGTTATCACTACAGTGAATTTTTAAGTGTCACCAAGTCATTAGAAAAATGGAACTCAACCGAGAACATTTATCGCAACAAGAATGCCTTGCTGAGTTACTGTCTGTTTTCGGCTGTTTGGGTGTTCCAAGGTGAAGAAAAGCCAACAAAAGTCATCCGTTCTCGAAGTGTTTCGAAAAAGATGTTCGCGACATTTGTGTTAAAAGCGGGTCATATTGCGACAATTCCTCTTAATGAGCAAAGAACTGTACTGCGGATTGGTATACCACCATTGGTTTGCCAAAAGTCATCACCGAGCTTCGAAAAATCAACCCCGCAAGAAAAATCATCCTCCACCAAGACAATGCAAGCTCGCATACAGTCCAAAAAACAAGGCAGTATTTAACGGAAGAAAACGTGGAATTATTGGACCATCCTCCATATAGTCCCGATCTAAGTCCTAACGATTTCTTTACTTTCCCAAAAATTAAAAACAGACTGCGTGGTCAAAGGTTCCAGTCACCAGAGGAAACAGTTGCCGCATTCAAAAATGCCGTTTTGGATCTGCCAGCAAACGAGTGGAATAAGTGCTTTGCAAAATTGGTTCGAGCGCATTCAGATGTGTATTAATCTTCGTGGAGAATACTTCGAAAAACAATAAAGTCATTTAAAACTACCTACCGTGTTGTTTTATTTCCATATGCAAAACTTAAAAGACATCCCTCGTATAACGGTAAACACAAAAATAAATCTTCGGATTCCAATTTTGATCATAAATCCCTTAAATATATTTTGAATATCTAGACGTTCTGCTCTTTTTTGAAGTGATTATCGCAGAACGAAAATTTAATGCGACTCTGCTAATAGGGCTTGATTCAAACTAAATTCTGATGTAGCCCTGCCGTCATACGGTATGATACGCCATTTGACTCCTGAATCTAGATGACTTCTATGTCGAAATTACCTCAACGGTACGATATAAAAGTTAGGCACATGGTAATGTCATGCAGATTGAAAGAATCTTCTCACAAAGTAGCCTTCCACCACTTACGTGTCAGGATGAAACGATTGTAACCGACTCAAAGGCTAAGGCGGAAGTGCTTGCCAAGATCTTTGCTTCCAACTCCACTCAACGCCCGAGTGCCGTCGATTCAAATATACACTATGCGGGAAGTAACATTCAGGCATAAGACCGTAAGACGGGTGCTCTTAGCTCTCGCCATCAACAAAGCTTCTGGTCCGGACCTGATTCCTGCCATTGTGCTGAAGAGGTGTGCAGCGGAGCTTGCTACAGTTTTTCGCGTCTCTTCCAGACATCTTATGAATCCGGCACCTTCCCAGAAAACTGGAAAGATCTAAGACATACGTACAGGCCTATAGCTCTACTTTCTGTTATAAGTAAGGTGATGGAGAGGTGCATACATCGCGAGCTTCTGGATTACCTCGAACGTTACGGCTTGATTAGCGACAGGCAGTATGGTTTCCGGCACCAACGATCCTCAGGGGACCTCCTAGCTTACGTCATTCAATTGTGGAGTAAACTTATCTAGTCTAGTCTGGTGGGGCTCATTTCGTTGCTCTTGACTTCGATCAGCTGTGACACGCCGCCCTCTTATGCAAACTTCCATCCTATGACCTTTTTCTTTTGATGTTCTCTCTGGCCACAAGATATCCGTGGTAATTGACGGGTTCTTTTCGTCACCCCGCAACACACATTTTGCTGATGACATGCAGAAATTTAGAGCGACAAGCCGATCTCTGCTGGTGAGCTGAAGAAAAGAAGACTAGCATCGGCTTCCTCGCTGACGAGACATCTGGAGGTTATCACTGCTTGGGGACGCAACAATCTAGTACAGTAAAAAACACATTATTGTACCTTGACGAACAAAAAGCGTCCTAGCGCTCATCCAGCTTCGATGGATGGTCGAGTACTGCCAATCACCGAAGACTTGATCTGGCACGAACACATCTCGTCAGTACCGGAAGCTGCTGGGAAACAGGTGGCTGTTTGTTCCAGGCTAAGAAGCACTTTTTTCCGCATGACCTCACTCTATACAAAGCCTAGATTTGATAAGACCTAGCATTGAGTATTGGTCACACGTTCGGGGTGTTGCCGCTCCGACTACAGACCCGCCTGATTTCGGCCTCCCATCCTAACCCTTTCGAACTTCGTACATCCAGAACTGGCCGATACGACTGCTCCTTTGTCCCGGCGGTGTCGAGATTGTGGAACAGTCTACAAGGGGAAGCTTTTCCCAATTCGTTAAATTTCAAGGGTCGAGATTCCGTTAGAGTCAGGTCCCAGATACTTATTATACTTTGAAATATTTAGTTCTTTTTGATACGTCATGGATAAGTCTTGTCATATTTGGAGAAATCGACGACATTTTTTACACCACTAAAAAGAAAAATGATTATTTTATCAAAAACTACATGCGGAACTGCTAAATATCTATGAGATTATTCATACTTTGCTGTACTTTGTTTAATAAGTAGAGTAAGTAAATGATTAATAATCTCTGAGACAATTCAACTGATTTCGATAACCCAAACTGGGCCCCAACTGTAGACTATAACAAAGCAAAGATGTGCATATTTTTATATACAAATAAACATAAAACACTCTGTATATGTTTGTTCAAAGGTGTGTAAGTGTGTCGCCAGCAAACGAACAATAAACACCGATAAGACATGAAGAAATGCTTCAAAATCTTTCTGTAATCTCACCATAATAGTTTTGCAGTTGTAAAGCTGTTTTAACCTTGGCCGAGCCATATACAATTTCGTCTTTTACGGTTACAGTATTTAAATTTCATATCATGTAATGTGCGATGTACGATGTGTTTGGTCGAATTGTCGTCATACTTTATTTCGGATCTTATTTTTCCGCTGGGATCTCATGTTTTGAGATACAATGCTTGTTACATAACTAAACCAAACTATTCTTTATGCCTCTAGTGTGTAATAATGGTATGTGCAAGGGGCCTGATTCTAAATGACTTTCAACCGTTGAAATCAATTTCGACGATTTACCTGATTCGCTATAATAATTTTGACATCTGATTATATCGGCTCAAAGGCTAAGCCGGAAAGTGTTTATCAAGATCTTTGCTGCCAACTCCACCATGAACGTCTCCCCCAACGATGGAGTGCCGTCGATTCAAAGGGTGCCCTACACTATGCGGGAGGTAACATTCAGGCATAAGACCGTAAGACTGGTGCTCTTGACGCTTGACCTCAACAAAGCTTCTGGCCCGGACTTCATTCCTGTCATTGTACTGAAGAGGTGTGCATCGGAGCTTGCTCCAGTTCTTTCGCGTCTCTTCCAGATATCTTATGAATCCGGCACCTTCCCGGAAAACTGGAAATTTCCTCATGTCCAACCCATCCCAGAAAAGGATCTAAGACCGACCCTTACAACTACAGGCCTATAGCTCTGCTTTCTGTTATGAGTAAGGTGCATAAATCGCGAGCTTCTGGACTACCTCGAAAGTTACAGCTTGATTAGCGACAGGCAGTATGGTTTCCGGCACCAACGATCCACAGGGGACCTCCTAGCTTACGTCACTCAATTGTGGAGTAAACTGATCCAGTCTTATGGTGAGGCTCATGTCGTTGCTCTTGACATCACGAAAGCGTTCGATTAGCTGTGGCAGCTGCCTTCTTAAGCAAACTTCCATCCTATGGCCTCCCAGAAAAACTTTGCAGATGGGTGGCTGACTTTCTCACTGGCCGCAAGATATCCGTTGTAATTGACGGGTTCTCCTCTTCATCCCACAACGTCAACGCGGGTGTTCCCAGGGATCGGTCTTGGCTCCGACACTGTTTCTCTTACATATCAACGACCTCCTTTCCTGTTCGATCAACCTAATCCACAGGTTTGCTGATGACAGCACTCTACATGCAGGAATTCAGAGCGACAAGCCGATCTTTGCCGGTGAGCTAGAAAAAAGAAGACCTGGAGGTTATCACTGCTTGGAGATGCAACAATCTTGTACAGTTTAATGCTTCCAAAGCACAGTACTGTACCTTGACGAACAGAAAGCGTTTTAGGGCTCATCGGGTTTCGATGGATGGTCGAGTTCTGCCAAAGACCCGTTCATTTCGGGTAGTCAGAGTCCAGATAACCGAGGACTTGATCTTGCACGAACACATCTCGTCAATAGCGGCAGCTGCTGGGAAGAAGCTAGGCTATTTGTTTAGGGCTAAGAAGTGCTTTTCACCACATGATCTCCTCACCCTGTACAAGTTCAGATAAGACCTATCCTTGAGTATTGCGCACATGTTTGGGGTGCTGCCGCCCCGACTACATTATCCATGATCGATGCTGTCTAGAGGAGGGCTGTCCGACTGATCGATGGCTCTTCTCTAACAGATAGTCTCGAGACCCTTTCTACCGGCGGGCCGTCGACGATCTAGCTGTCTTCTACCGCTACATCAACGGGCTTTGTTCCTCAGAGCTCTCCTCTATGATGCCGTGCGATGTGCCTGCCTGACAGTGGCGACGCGTGACTTTTCCTAGACTGTTACCAAAACCAGATGTGAAAAATCTTATTAAAAAAACTTTATTTTGAATCTCCCAAATATAATTTTTTGCTTATTTCAGGTATTTTATTCAAACTATTTTCAAATTAAGGTAAACATTCCTGGACTGAGCGTCTGGGGCACTTGATATACCTAACCGTCTTATGACTAATCCAAGCCGTCCGAAAAAAGAGTCGACGTTTCTAGATCTTCGGAAAATTTTTGATCTTTTTTGGCAATGAATGTTAACAATTCCCTGTAATTTCCTCTATTGTTAGACTCATCCCCTTCAAAATGAACGGTAATTCCTGTTTTGCCAAAAAATATACGGTATCTAGAAGTGTGCTGCCTAAAAACTTGTTTAACCCTTAGCTACAGAGGTCACGTTTGTAGGACTTAACCACAGACTACCGGTCATTTTGACCGGTTGTCTTTTTTTGAGTATACATGAACAACAAAATCTTAATTTTTTTCTTGCAGCATGCGGATTAAATCTTTCTAATTAGCATTTGATGTAGTTTTAACTATATTTGAATGAAATAAGAGTAGAGTATGGAAAAAATATTTTATTGCTATATTTTTGTTCAAGTGTAACAGAGTCATAAATAAAAATAAAATAAAAACGTATACAACACTTTTTCGCACATAAATAATTTAAACAAACTATTCTGAATAAAATAACATCAAAGCAAAGCTAAAAACATTCTATATAAAAATATCTGCAAAGGGTAAACTATTAGCATATTTAGATGGAACATTCTTTGCAAATTCTCCTAGTACATTCCATGCATATTGGAGATTTACACATTATACAAACATGGAATGTTTTTCTCTCCTTCTTCTAGGGACAACGTCTACAAGTTGTTCTTGTATTCAGTTTATCACCTTCCATAGGATGTTCTTCTTGTTCCAATTGTAGTATGCGTCTTATAGATATTTTCATTTCACGACCAATACGCACATTTTGATATCGGCGTTGCATATGTGGAGTTACCAAAAGAATTGCTAACTGTTTTCCAAAATGATAGCGGTTTATTTCTGGATTATCTCGGTATGACTGATTTCACCTAGATTTTCGTTGTCCTCTTCGTCGAATTTAACCTCCGACTCAGTGTCATGATCCGATAGTATATAGTCGCCTTCTGATTCGATATCGCTTCCACCAGAATCGACTTCCTCTGCCCATTTCAGTAAAGTAGCTTCAAAATCAGCATCTCCATATTTTACTCTCTTTGAGGGGCCCAGGATTAGAGTCCATACTCAATTTATAAGGCTAAAAACATCAGAAAAATAATAATTCAACATATCCAATTTATTACGTTTATACAGACCTCCGGTATTTTTTACCGGTTGCGAACTTTGAACTACGATTTTTCGCTTGCTTCAAGTAATACAGTCTCCATCCACCGGCTAATAGCATCAAACTAAAGTGTTAGGAAGGTATCTAGAAGCTCATAAGCGATAGTGGTGGGGATGCGATGAATTTCAGCAGTTGAAATTTGCAGCCGGTCATTTTGACCGGATGTCTGTGGTTAAGGGTTAATACAACTTTCGATTCTTGTTTTGCCAAACTGAATTAAATTGGCTACACATCTCACATGTAACGGAGAAATCTCATGTCTCCTCTTTAGAGCCGTAAAACTATTTCAATAGTTGACTCCGCTGCTGGTCCACCCATTTTTTCTGTATGAAACAGAAGACATCGCCAACAATACAATCTGTTTTTTTGCAACCACATAACCAAGAGTTACCATATACCAACTTGATTTAAAATATCAAAGTATACTTTATCTGAAGTAACTTGAAACACTGTGAAATACCGGGTGCGTTTTATATATCTATATTTAACACGCTCTGTTGCTGCAAAAATCGCCAAATTTCGCAGCAAATAAGATCAAAGGCAGTTTCACCGGTCCACGTGGAGTAAAGCACGCCTATGCGTGGACATAGCCAATGAGAAAGCGTGTATTTCAGAGCTCCGAACAAGTGCAGGTGGCTACTGAAAATTGAAACAGTTTATTCAGTGCCGTGTAGCGGTGAATAAACGTGTTTTCTTTAGTCTGTCCGTGTTTTTTCATACATTTTATTAGTTTGTGTGTTTTTGACTTTTGAATACTCAGTTTACTTGTTGATTTAATTGTTGTGTTGATTGTTCTTGTGTGTCCTAAATATGGCTCTTTGGAGACCTTGGGAAAATGCTCCAAGTCACGAGGAGATGGTTGATGAACCTGTGCAGGCAGAATTCTTTCATGAAGATTTAGAGGAACAGACCCAAAGAGTAATCCTAAATATGTATGATTGTCTGAAAAACGAAAATCCAGATTCCTCGCAAAATCAAATTTTAAACAGAATTTGTATCCTGACAAAAATCAGTCGGTCTACCATTTATCGGGTTATAAAAAGGGGAGATGTAGTCAACCATTCCTTCCACAGAAAGCGCTTAGGGCAAACATTAAAAAGAATTGACGTGGGTTTTCAGGAAGATATTCGTCGTATAATATACGGATTTTATAAAGAAAATTTGGTGCCCACGTTGGAAATGATACGGGATAAATTAAAAGATTATCCTGAAGATTTTTGTAATTACAAGTGCTTAGACTCACTGCACTGTATTGTAAAACTGTGTGGTTTTCAATACAAAAAATTAGATAAAAGAATGGTGATTATGGAGTCGTCTCGAATCGTTGAATTGCGCCAAGAATTTTTGCACAAAGTTAAAATCTATAGAGAGCAGAAAAGAAATCTGATTTACCTGGATGAAACGTGGTATGATACCCATGATGTTGTGCAGTACAGCTGGGTTGACGACAGCAACAAGTGCATTTTAAATGCACCATGCAACCGTGGAAAACGAATCATTATTCTCCATGCTGGCAGTGAAAATGGATTTATACCTAATGCCTTGCTGTTATCTGCCAAAAATATCAAAGAATCATGTGCCGACTATCATGAGGACATGACCTCCGACTTATTTGAAAAGTGGATAGAGCAGCAGTTAATACCAAACATTTCCCCAAATTCAGTGATTATTATGGACAATGCGCCATACCATTCCCGACAGAAAAACAAAATTCCGAATACAGGCACAAAAAAACAAGACATTATTGATTTTATGAAGGATAAGGGAATGGAAATACCACAAAAATCAACCAAAGCCATATTATTGGATCTTATTAAAAGACAAAAATTTGAAAAAGAGTATGTTGTTGACAATCTGCTTCAGCAAAATGGCCATGAAGTATTACGTCTACCTCCCTATTACTGCATTTTTAACCCGATTGAGTTGGTCTGGGCTGCTTTAAAAAAAAAGTAAGAAAACATAATCAGACCCCTCAATTAAGTGAATCGCTATTGGCCACAATAAGAGATGCAGTATCTCATATTGCTGCCACAGACCTATGAAAGCAGTGTTCTAGGCATATTATTGAAAAAGAAAATGAATATTGTGTTTTGCCTCCTGTAAATCCCGTTGTAATTCCTCTACAAGATGACTCTAGCGACAGCTCCGAAGACGAGGATGATATATAAATACCTATAATCTAAGTCTTTATATACCTTTTTATATACCTACCTGCTATGTAAATATTTGCCTATGCCAAACGTTGGAATTCTGTAATTTTTCCATTTCTTAACTTTCAGTCAACATAAATTAAACTCCCAATATAAGTGTTTTTTATCCCAAATCAGAAAAATAAGAAGATAGTAAAATCCATTTATTGTGATATAAAAACATTATTATTATCGTTCTAAATAAATGACCGCACGCCTGTGATACGTCATGAAATTACAAAGGACGCGCCGACCAAAGGTTTTTATGCTATTTCAAGTGACTTCAGATAAAGTATACGTTACTTTATTCCTTTTTAAAATTATCTAAAGTAGGTGTTCCATTTTCAATGATATCCTTATTTTTCTCAAAAATCATGCAAGGAGAATGAATTTTCAGGTAGTTGATCGATTACGCAGCGACACTCATCCATGTTTAATTGCACGCACACTACAGCCAGTAATCAAAACGGCTACTAACGAGTGAGGCGTGAGTAACCAAATCAAAAAATGGTAACAAGCCCACATAATAGTCGCAGCGCCCCACGCACTCGGACGACCGCGATCTGACACGAGCCGTCACCGACGGTCCCCGACGGATGGTAACAACCTATACCTAACTATAAGGCGCATTATTTTCGTGGGGCTAATTTGCTATTTACTGGATTACTATTACATACCGCTGTTGGTAAACAAATAAATGAAATTATTTCACAGTACTTAGTCATAAAATATTTATTTTTAAGACTTGAAACTATTACCAATGGTAACAATGGTTACATGGACGCTTTGCCACTGCTGCCTGATAGACCCATCTGACTTCAACCTCTCATCCTAACATTGTCGAACTTCGTGTTTCTGCCGGGCTACATCATAGTGTTTCCTATGCTCTGAACACGTTGCTTCGTCGACCGAGTTATGTATCGAGGAGAGGCGACGTTTCCAGATGCATTGCCAGTAGGGCAGGGAAAGGATGTCTATGGTCTAATTGTATGGGCCTGTTTTTTTTTTACCTTTTCTCTGATCTGTACGTTCGTAACTCATTATCTTCTAAGAGAGTACAAGGGCCTAAGTCTGATTATATCCGAGACTATGAAGGGTATAACAATCGGCATACTGTTCTAGCGTGACTTCGCTACGTATTGTCATTTCCGAGCATATATTCCCGTCCTTTTCCATCCTATTATCATAATAATCAGAACAAAGCCCGCGTTCGTACCGGTCTCCAAAACTGATGTGCAGATTTTGTTACAGATCACCAGACAGAAGCTTAACATGTCTTCTCAGTGAACTGGAACATTAAGTTAAGAAAATGCCCGTGGGAATAAGTAAGTACATTCTTATATCATGACTTTTTTTATTGTACAATCTAGAGCAGCGTCTCTCAACTACGTATATGCCGATAAAGGCCAAGCTATACCAATCAGAAACTTAATAAGGATCAGAATCAGTAAAAACAATTACGTACGTTTGTATCTTCCGTTTTCACGCCAAAACGGACGAATCGATTTTGGTGAATTTTTGCATATATCGTCCTAATAACAAGCTAGGTGACAAAAAGCTTCAGCCTTTATTGAGTACTTCGACAAATTAGTGCAAAGTGTACTCTTGTAACTTTATTCTCTAGCTTTCGATGAACTATGTCATCATCATCAGGAGAAAATTAGGCGAGATTGTTGCTAAATGTTATTAATTAAGTTAATAAGAACTCTTAGTAACCTGATGCAAATTGGATCCATGGTAGCAGTAGTTAAAATTTATAAAATACACATAGCCATGTGTCCAAAAAAACACCACAACGGATTAAAATGTTTGGATTGATTGTTGAGTTTTTTGATTTATTACACCGTGAACAATCTTGCTACTTTACCATTTTGTAGCAATATCGTTCACGATGTTAGAAATAAAAAAAAATTAAAATCAATCCAAAAAATCTTGTGCTTTTTTTGACACATGGCTATGCGTATTTTATGAATTTTAACTAGTGCTACCATGGATCCAGTTTTCATCAGGTTACTAAGTTTCTCATGAACATAGTTAATAACATTTAGCAAACATCTCGTCTACTTTTCTCCTGATGATGATGACATAGTTCATAGAAAGCTAGAGAATAAAGTTACAAGGGTACACTTTGCACAAATTTGTCGAAGTACCCAATAAAGGCTGAAGCTTTTTCTCATCTAACGATACAATTTACAAGTCGTGACCAAAAATAAAAAACCTTTTTCCCTCGAGTGCTTCTCTAAAAAGATAAAGTTTAAAAATAAAAAACAATTTTTTTTAATATCTTCAAAACCGTCAACTTGAATGAACTAAAATTTGGATGTGGATTTATCTAAGCATTGTTCACATTTAAAAGAACATTCATGAAGAGCCGAGATACCTACAATTAGTTTCAAAATAAAATAGGAGGCCTTGATTCCAACTTGACGTTTCTTGGGAGATAGTTTTATCAAAGTTGTGTGTCATACGGTTGTTATCGTTACTACTACCATTTTTTTAAAGTCAAGTCAAAAGTGTCTTTTTTTCATTTTTGAATGCTATGAAATGGAATTTAGCAATGATGAGTACGTCGATATTATTTTCGTGTACGGGTTCTGTATTGGGAATACTTTAACGGCTTTTCGGGAGTATCAACGTGGATTTCCTAATAGACGCCAACCTACCCCAAAGGTTTTTACGCGTTCATTTTTAAGACTTCGGCAGTATGGAATTGCCAAACTTCCC